AATTAATGACATTTTAAAAGATTGCAAAAACTGACTCCAGGGATATTTCACTCAAACTTGTAGCATATGTAGGAGAGGTGGGAGTATCTGTCTGAAAGCATAATTTTCTCATAGACGCTAACAGTCAGTGACTTAAGCTCACCATCCTATCCTCCTGACATTTCAGACCAAATTATAACCAATTACAGGTTTTTTTTCCCAAGCCATTAAAGCAATTTCCAAGCTGCTTAGAAAAAACTTAACCTGCAGCTACATTTAACCTCCCTATAGTCACTTTGATTGTGAAGAAAATAAAGCTAGATTCATTCACCTATTAAAGCACTTTTAAAATACTCTGGTTCTCTCTAAGGACCTGATCCTACATGTATTGCAGTCAATAGTAAAGCTCTTACAAACTTCAGTGGCATTGGACATTGTTCCGCCAAACATCCCTTTCTACAGAGCAGTCTTTAAGGGCCTGTTTTCTCCTTGCCCTTGTCAATACCTTGCACTTATCAATACCTATCAGTTTGACTTTCATGTTTAACTGAGAACTTTTCCTTTTGTCTTTTTTTTGCAGTTCTGTGAAACAGTGAAGATGATTATTCGGGACCAAAGAAGTGTTCTTGCAGCAGCGTTCCTGGGAATAGCATCTATTATCTGCCTGGGTTTGGCACCTTCCACCACCCTACCCACTATCATTATTCCGTTCTTTCTGTGGATGGCTGGTTAACAGAAGCACCAACAGAGCCTGTTAGTGCCTGTACATAGACTGCATAATAATGTATTTATAAAAGCACAAATTACTTATCAGTGGTTGTGTAAAGAGGAAAAAGTGACCTGTAATGTGTGCCTTATTTTAATCACATCTTTATCCAGAACACAATGTACAAAGAGTAGCTTACTATGTAAGCCAAATAACCAGATTTCCTGAAAATCTGCTAGAAGGTAAATGTAACACACCTTCCAAGTCATAAAAGGGTAGGGGGATGATTTGCTCCCTGCTTTGTCATAAATTAATTTTAGTGAATGTATTTTATCAGGGTTTTTTCTCTCTTAACTTTGTATATCCAAGTGCCATATAAAATAGTGATGATTAGTTTCATCCTGAAAAGTGGATGAGAGGACATCTAAGTACTTAGGTAAAAATGATGGAAGCTGAAAACAAGCTAATTTCACTTCCATATACGTGTATTCTGCATTCAGGAAAGTTATTGTTTCTAAATCAACATGTATTAAGTGTTGAAATATCTTTTAATGAGAAATAAAAGCAGCCTCAGGATTAAAAGCAGCCTCAGGATTATGTTCTGAGTTGGTAAAAACTCCTAGTGAAGTATTGTTTCCTTCCACCTGTGGCTGAATCGATACTGCCCATTCTGTTCCTTTCTAGAGGGTGTTCACAAGGTACATACTTCATTTTACTTGCACATAGAGTCTATGCCATTCTGAACTGCTTTTTGCCTGGGTTTAGTTGTAAGAAAAGACTTGCTAGTAAGAGTCAGTGCAGCCAATATAGTTTGCTACGGGGGATGTCAGAAGATATGGAACAAAGCAATTTGGTTGATGAAAACTAGTAACTTCCAAACAAATAAGAATTTTCCTGTGCTCTCGTGGCGGAGGGAGGGTCGGGGCTGGGGGGGGGGGGAGGGGGG